TCCCCCACCCCCCCCCCCCCCCCCGGGGGTGGGTACTCTCTTATATGAGGGGATGTGCCGCTGAACAGGGTGTGTTTTTTGTCCTTTTTGTCATTAACAGGGTATACAATTCCGCCCAAACTGTCCTAAGCAGGGTAACAAAATTGAGGCTTTTGTCCGAAACAGTGTATGTATTTTAGGAATTTTTTGTCCTAAACAGGGTCAGGGTTTGAAACCCTCAGCGGCTCACCTCTACCCAAATTTTGGTCAATAGAGTAGCTCAATCTGTCTTGTATTGGACGAGTCCCACCCTCCCCTGGGTCTTTCCCTTGCACAAGTAAGTTTTCAAAGGTAATATTACCTTTAATTTGTGTCTATAATTGACTTTTATTACATTTGTGACCAGTTATTACATTTGCCTTCAATAGGCGTGGGCCAAACGTAGAACTTTTCAAACCCTAGTTTGGATCGACCTAAATTCAGTTAAGATCGTCTGTTGGGTCAGACGTCGAACAAATCAACTAAATCAGATCAGTGCTTAATTTTCTCCCGAATGAGGCTAAATATACATATCAAACGAACTTTTAATTTATTAGTTTAGTTCGTTGCATGTGATGATCGAAGTTTGTCACGGAGATCTTCAGACGTTCGATCCGTCTGAAGCAGACGAATAGGACGTGTTAAACGATCCTCACTCATTCAGACCAATTTAACTGTGCCAGATGTCGATTTTTTCATGAACTTAACTCAATAAGTTTGGTTCGTCTCATGAAAAGTTCGAAGTTCGGCCTAGGCCCTGGAAAGTCTTCCTCACTGTGTATCTCTTACCAACACGAAGATCTAGGTTCTGAAGGGAGGGGTGACTGAGTTGACCATACAGTAAAAAATTACCAGAGGTCGAGACCCTCTGGGGAGCAAAGCTCTACGGGTAAATAGCAAAGCTAACTAAACTGGAGACACTGAATTAAGTTCTTAATGTATGTATACATGAGCAAACAAATATACTGTGTGACAGGAAAAGGGGTCACAGTTAGGGCCAAAGTTACGACAAACTTTCAGATAAAAGGTGTCGACAAGAGAAATCAGAAAACTTAAGCCTCGGCTATAAAAAAGCAATCCTATGCATATCAAAAATACGAGTTAATGTAAAACTACAACATATTTTAAAAACTGATTGAACTTAGTAACTGAATACATTTCGGGAATCTGACTCCAGTATTAGAATGGAGACCTTTCTAGGCAGTAACTTTAAACAATCTATCAATAGGATAAAAACTACAGCTATGTAAATAATAAAAACGTAAAAAACTAAATCAATTTGCTAATAGGCACGTCTTAAGTGCGTCTGCCACATACGGTATAACAATGGTAATAAAAATTTACTACTGACTCCTGGTGTTCTTCAGGTGACTATTGAACTGAAAGTCGCAAGTGTACAAGCTGTGCACACGACTAGTCGTAAAATAAGCTGCGAAAATTTATCTTTGGACTACGAAAAGATTTAACTTATTATTATTGTCCGCAATTAGCTAAACAAATCGACACTTAATTAAAGTTCACATTTCATTTCAATTTTTCTTGCCTACGAAAAATAGACACCCCGGAAAGTTTCATGGTGCTTTTTTTTTCACCAGAACAGTTACAACGCTTATTTCCGTTGAAGGAGGTAAAACCCTCTCCCGATCGCTCATAAATGGCATTCTCGCTAAAACTCGTCGTAGAATGACGATGGCTATCATATTTTCCCGGTTCGCGCGCGTACTACCTTAGTATAGATGGCTTTCACAGTGACGTCATCAAATTGTAAAGTCAAAATAGGGAGATTTTAAGAATTCTTATTTACACTATGTTGAAGAGAAACAAAAAGTAAATCTTTGTACAAGTTTTCATTCCCGTAGCATGTTTCATTTCGAAAATGCACCAATTTGAACTTCCGAGTTTTCGCAGTGCGTGACACCAAAATAGGAATGCTGTCTCGTTGAAAAAAAGTATCTCCTCTTGATTTTCAGCAGTATAACCATTCCAAGTATTAGAAGATATTTTTATGCGCACGTATACTAGTTCTCGAGTGAAAAGAAGGAGCTTTTACAGAAAAAGTGAACTCCAGATGTTTTTGTTGATTTTCGGTGGCCATATTGGTGCACCAAAACTGTGCACCAATATGGCGTCTCCATACAAAGCTCTACAAAGGTGCGTGAAACGTTTCGGCAAATAACTCTGAAACTGTGGGCCACAAAGACCTGAGACTTGGACAACTTGTTTAAAAATTAGTCCTCTATAACATTTCATTTTCTTCGCTTCTTCCACTGGACGGTTTCCAATTTATTTTTTTGTTGTGTGACAGTGAAAACGATCTATTGGGAAAATCTCTTTCTTGGCCTCGTCTTAGAATCTAAAGCTCTCCGATGGTAAAAACAAGGGCCCGTACGCGAATAATCCTCGGCTATGAAAAAGCAATCCTACGCATATCAAAAAGACGAGTAAATGTAAAACTTCAATATGTTTTAAAAACTGATTAAACCTAGTAACTGAATACATTGGGGAATCTGACTCCAGTATTATAATGGAGGCCTTTCTAGGCAGTAACTTTAAACAATGTACCAACAGAACAAAAACCTACAACTATGTAAATAACAAAAGCGACAAAGAAAACTAAATTAAATTGCCAATAGGCACGTCTAAAGTGCCTCTGTCATATATGGTATAACTTGGTATACCAATGGAAATAAAAATTTACTACTGATTCCTGATGTTCTTCAGGTAACTATTGAACAAGTTGCAAGTGCACAAAATGTGCAGACGACTAGTCGTAAAATAAGCTATGGAAATTACACTAATCTTTGGACTAAGAAAAGATTTAACTTATTATTATTACTACTTAGTATTGGGTAAATCTCGTTCTAGTTGTCGTCCTCGGGGTCTTAGAATCTAAAGCTCTCTAATAAGAGCATCATTCTCTCTTCCCCATTACGAGTTTCCAAGCTTGAGAGGAACGCTCGTCTTCATTGTGACACAAAGAAATCGAGTTCAGCTTCAGATAAATCGGAACTGCTTTACCGCATGCTGCACCTATACAACACAAACAGCAAATAGCAACGTTAGAAAGCTAGCAGAAGTAAAGGATACTGATTTCTACCTGTACGGTCTATACGAGTCGACAGACACCTCTGTAAAACCCTTAACGGACACCTAGAGTTGGCCCCTGCCTTTCTTTACTGTCTTTACTTGACTCTCTAAAAGACGGACATCTCTCTAAGATGAACACTTAATGCCGGTCCGAAAAAATGTCCATCTCAAGGGAGTTGACGGTAAATAGAATATTTTGACGACGTACTTAAAAATTTCTTGGAGCAACGGGTAACTAGCCTTCGTAGCAAGCGTTTCCCTGCGGTTTCGGAGCAAAGACCAAGTTACGAGAGACAGACTGCGTAAAAAACGGTGCGAGTAAAAGAGCGGGGAGGGGGTGGGGAAGAGAAATGTAAGGTCTCACACGACCAAAACCGAAAATCTCTTTTCTCGGTGACAGATTGATGCTAATTCGCACCAGTTGAGCTTGTTGCCCTACAAAACCGACGACAAAAATAATTGCTAGTTAAGATGACGTTTGCCAAAGCTAGAAATATGATCTCAGGATTAAATTCATCCAAAAATACCTTGCATTTATTCGATGCCCTCAAACTCAAACGTCACGTCGTCACCGATAAGAACAAAAGGAGCCCAGTACTTTACTGCACTAAAGTGGTCAGATTCTCTCAAGGATTTCATGGCTTTATTCAGAGCCTCACTGGCACTCCGTTTATGGACTAGGTGTTGGTAGAAAAATTCCATAAACTCCATAGTAGCTTCGTCGTCGATCGCCCACAGGGACACCAGAACAGAACGAGCACCAGCACCCAAAAATGCCCTTGCGATGCCGACCACACCCTCAGGTTTGACTTCTCCGCTTGCACTTTGACAACAACTAAGTACAACAAGTCTTGCCCTAATCTGCGCCTTTAAAACATCTCTCATAGTTAAGAGATAGTCCTCCCTGGCTGGAATCGGGGATGAACGTGTAGGGTTTGGGGCCAAGGCAATTTCTCCTGTGTCCATTTGACCGTGAGCAGCAATGTGCACCAACGCAACCGAGGAGATTCGTCTCAAAACTTCATCTTTTGTTGCCTCCTTTCCAACGAGAGGTACAGTTTGAAGGATTTCCCCAATCATTTGCACTTCCTTTTCGGCGTACGGTAACTGCGGTAGCATTATCTCCTGTACCCACGGATTGCCGACGAGAAGAGCGCCAGTCTTGCTGTGCCAATCTGCTGGACAATTTTGGATTAATCGAAGACTAGACAGTGAGGGAAGCAGACGAATTCTGAAAGTTTCACAGAGGTACTTTGATTTCAAGTCCAAGAAAGCAGCATAAGGCGCCAAGAACAGAGGTCCTTGTGGAACAACCACAACCTCATCGCCCTGGAGTAAGTCTTTTATAGGGTCTATAACAAGATTGTACCATGTTTGTAATGAGTTTGTCTCAAAATATGAAGGATGAAAGTTTGGGGATCTCGAATCAGCATCGCCTCTCACACAGCGATCTTCACAATTAATACCACCCATCACACCTATTTCTTTACGTGCAGTCTCCAACAGAGACTGAAAATACGTTGTGTCAGAGATATCGATCTCAGTTCTTCTAGTTTTGATTTCTTGTCCTCTCTCGTTCACCCAGAGAACTATTCCTCCCTCGTTTATACCTATGAATACTGTATTTGATGGTAAGTAAGTAGGAAAGTCATTTGGTCTTGCAGATAGTGTCCATGTTTCTAAGCGTAGCCTTTTAAGGCCATACTTTAACTCCAGAAGATCATTTAAAGCTTGAGCTCGTCCATGATCAGCAGTTAAAAGTGCCTCGATGACTTCACCTTGCTTAAACTGCAGCCCCCATAGCCTCGAATTAATATCACCATACGAATTCCCAAGGCTAATCTTCCATTCGTCATTAGATATAAGATTTCCCCTGATGTGGTCGAAGGCTATAACACTTTTCTTATAAAATTTAATGGCTTTCTGAAATTTTCCAAGACTGTGATAGGCTTTGCCAAGATTACCGCACGCTTTTCCTTCTCCTGCCTTGTCTCCTACTTCTTCCGAAATTTTGAGGTATCGTTTATGGTACTCTCTGGCATTCTGGAAATCTCCAAGACTGTAATAGGCGTTGCCAAGATTACAGTACGCTCTTCCTTCTTGTGCCCTGTCCCTTGTTTCTCTGCAAATTTTGAGGTATCGTTCTTGGTACTCTATGGCATTCTGGAAATCTTCAAGACTGCAATAGGTGTTGCCAAGATTACCGTACGCTCTTCCTTCTCCTGCCCTGTCTCTCACTTCTTTCGCAATTTTGAGGTCTCGTTCATGGTACTCTATGGCTTTCTCGAGATCTCCAAAACTCTGATAGGCATTGCCAAGATTACCGTAGGCTATTTTTTCACCTGCCCTGTCTCCCACTTCTCTCGAAATTTTGAGATGTCGTTCATGGTTCTCTATGGCTTTCTGAAAATCTCCAAGACTGTCATAGTCGTTGCCAAGACTACCGTACGCTCTTCCTTCTCCTGCCCTGTCTCCTACTTCTTTCGAAATTTTGAGGTGTCGTTCATGGTACTCTATAGCGTTCTGGAAATCTCCAAGACTCCGAAAGTCGTTGCCAAGATTACCATACGCATTTCCTTCTCCTGCCCTGTCTCCCACTTCTTTGGAAATTTTGAGGTGTCTTTCATGGTACTCGTTGGCTTTCTGGAAATCTCCAAGACCGTAATAGGCGTTGCCAAGATTACCATACGCTTTTCCTGCTCCTGCCCTGTCTCCTACTTCTTTCGAAATTTTGAGGTGTCGTTCCTGGTACTCTATGGCTTTCTGAAAATCTCCAAGACTGTCATAGGCGTTGCCAAGATTACCATACGCTTTTCCTTCTCCTGCCCTGTCTCCGACTTCTTTTGAAATTTTGAGGTCTCGTTCATGGTAGTCTACGGCTTTCTGAAAATCTCCAAGACTGTCATAGGCGTTGCCAAGATTCCCATACGCTTTTCCTTCTCCTGCCCTGTCTCCCACTTCTTTCGAAATTTTGAGGTCTCGTTCATGGTACTCTATGGCTTTCTGGAAATTTCCAAGACTTTTAAAGGCGTTGCCAAGATTACAGTACGCTTTTCCTTCTCCTGCCCTGTCTCCCACTTCTTTGGAAATTTTGAGGTGTCTTTCATGGTACTCTATAGCTTTCTGGAAATCTCCAAGACTAGAATAGTCGTTACCAAGGTTACAGTACGCCTTTCCTTCCCCTGCCCTGTTTCCCACTTCTGTGGAAATTTTGAGGTGTCGTTCATGGTACCCTATGGCTTTATGGAATTCTCCAAGGCTGTAATAGGCATTGCCAAGATTACCATACGCATTTCCTTCTCCTGCCCTGTCTCCTACTTCTTTCGAAATTTTGAGGTGTCTTTCATGGTGCTCTATGGCTTTCTGAAAATCTCCAAGACCGTCATAGGCGTTGCCAAGATTACCATACGCCCCTCCTTCTCCTGCCCTGTCTCCGACTTCTTTCGAAATTTTGAGGTGTCGTTCATGGTACTCTATGGCTTTCTGGAAATCTCCAAGACCGTCATAGGCGTTGCCAAGATTACCATACGCATTTCCTTCCCCTGCCCTGTCTCCCACTACTTTGGAAATTTTGAGGTGTCGTTCATGGTACTCCACGGCTTTCTGGAAATCTCCAAGACTGCGACAGTCGTTGCCAAGATTACCGTACGCTTTTCCTTCTCCTGCTCTGTCTCCCACTTCTGTGGAAATTTTGAGGTGTCGTTCATGGTACTCTATTGCCTTATGAAAATCTCCAAGACTGTAATAGGCGTTACCAAGATTACCATACGCTCCTCCTTCTCCTGCCCTGTCTCCCACTTCTTTCGAAATTTTGAGGTGTCGTTCATGGTGTTCTATGGCTTTCTGAGAATCTCCAAGACTGTCATAGGCGTTGCCAAGGTTACCATACGTTCCTCCTTCCCCTGCCCTGTCTCCCACTTCTTTCGAAATTTTGAGGTCTCGTTCATGGTACTCTATGGCTTTCTGGAAATCTCCAAGACTGTAATAGGCGTTGCCAAGATTACCATACGCTTTTCCTTCTCCTGCTCTGTCTGCCACTTCTTCGGAAATTTTGAGGTGTCGTTCATGGTACTCTAAGGCTTTCTGGAAATCTCCAAGACTGCGACAGTCGTTGCCAAGATTACCGTACGCTTTTCCTTCTCCTGCCCTGTCTCCCACTTCTTTGGAAATTTTGAGGTGTCGTTCATGGTACTCTTTGGCTTTCTGGAAATCTCCAAGACTGTAATAGGCGTTGCCAAGATTACCATACGCATTTCCTTTTCCTGCCCTGTCTTCAACTTCTTTCGAAATTTTAAGGTGTCGTTCATGGTACTCTATGGCTTTCTGGAAATCTCCAAGACGGACATTGGCGTCGCCAAGATTACCGTACGCTTTTCCTTCTGCTGCCCTGTCTCCCAGTTCTTTGGAAAGTTTAAGGTGTCGATTATGGCAGTCTATGGCTTTGTGGAAATCTCCAACACTGTGGTACGCGTTTCCAAGTTTACAATATACATTTGCCTCTATTGCCCTGTCTCCTACTTCTTTGACAATTTTGAGATATATTTCAAGGTTGGGTATGTCGGTATGAAAATCTTTAATGTTGTCATAGAAGTCTACCACTTCTTTCACACTTCTTTGTCCTTTCTTCGCCATTTTAACGAAAATGTGCAGATATGATAGTTGTGGCTTGTTGAAAAAATAATTTTAGCTCTCGGTCAAGCTTTTTTCTAGCTTGAGTATTTCAGCTTTTCCTGAAAAAAAGTATAAAAATTTTGTGGATTCACGTGGTTTATGCAAGTTTTCGCCAAAAAAGTATGGTCTCGTATGATACTGAAGTGAAATAAAATATAAACCAAGAATAACTAAATCTTTTTAGTAAAATCCAACAAGTGGTCTATTATCAATGCTGCGTTCTGATTGGTTAAGCTACTACTAGGCTATATGTTATAGCCCACTAGTAGCAAAAAGCGCGGGCTTTTTGGCGGCAAAAAAGGATTAAAGTCTAGCTTCAACTAGCTAAATTTTTTTTGTTCTCGATATTTTTCACCAACTAGTTGGATTTTACTAAAACAATTATTCCTCTCTCCCTCATGGCCTCTGAGTCAGTAGCCAATGAGGCCGAGGAATAATTTTTAAATATTATTTTATTAATTGCTTTATTTCTTTTAGTAACCTTAGTTGTACGAAGATCGCCGCGGGTGGTGATTCCTAATTGCTATGGAGAACACGCCCCTTTCGGGCTAGTCTTAAGCAGGTTTAGTGTATCGGTTTTCAGTAGCTTCTATTGTAGCTAGTCATCGTTTACCCGTGGTTATTGACCTCTAGCCAGCGCCTCGTTCTGGTAGTCGCGGCCCGCACAGGGCAGCTACCTTTCTTTGTCTTGAAAGCGTCTAAGAATTCGATTTGTCGGGAAGTTTGTTTGATAGCTTAGTGGTTTGTTTCGCTGTTTTACCAGTTCCCAGTTCCCTCCGCCTAGCACCCAATCCAGCAAAGTAAAATGGCGGCCAAAATTTTTTGGGAAAATTTTGTGAGCGCTAAGAAAGTCAAAAGTTTTTTGGGGGTTTTTGAACAGCTTCAAAATCAACACATTCTTGCACCAATATTTAGATTTGGGGTTATTTTGGTCTAAAAAATTGGACGTAAAGTTTAGCCGTGTCTTATTTTACCAGAAATAGAGACACTCATTAAACACTAATTTATTGGTTTTTCTTTATGAGTTTTTGCATCATTTTTTCTAATACAGTTTTACTGAGTCCGACCTTTGGTCGAGGTGTCGAGGGTACTATATCGAGGGTACTATGTTTTATTTTTTATTTTTTTTAAATTTCTCTTTCGCGTTTTTCAAGCGAGTGTGGAGTGCCAGATACGCAAAAGTCAGGAGCCTTTGGGCGATTCTTGCTATTAAGAAGAAAAGGGGAGATCCAGCTCTGAAGTCAACTGACGACCGTGGCCAACTTAGACATTTTCAGCTTGAACTGGTGCCTGTGCTTGCATGTTCCCAGTATTAATATTGTGAATTTATCGATTTTGAATCACTTAAACAAAGATTTTAGTTAATTCCGGGTTAATTGAAATATGTTTGTTTTCAAACTGCTTCAAATACATACTAGAGGGACATCTTTCCGATTCAATTGAAACTGGATGCTTTTTGTCTTTCTGCCAAAAAAAATCGAACTAATCGCGTCGATTGAGTTCGGTAATCGAACTCACCGAAAAGTTCCAGTTCGATTATGTTCGATCACCGAATTCGAACCAATCGAACAACAATCCGACCGATTTTACGAAGCAGGTCAGGGGTAAACAGCGTACAGTTTTACTTATTTTAGGGTAGGAAAAGTTAAGTTACAGCATTTTCTCTCTCGTACACTATTCAGCGCGCAGCAGGTTAGGGGTAACAGCGTACAGTCTTCCTTATATCAGGGTAGGAAAAGTTAAGTGACTATTATGATCTTTTATACTCCACAATTGGTGTTATGTCCTCTCTATTTGGCATTGTAAATTCCTTTCGTCCACTCCGTATTTTGTTATGTATTTAAACATTTTATTATGTACGAATGTAGAATTGCACAATGGGATACAGAACTTTGCACTGCCAAATAGAAAGAGCAAAACATCACCAGAGAAGTCTAAAACGCCATGTTAGAATAGCAGAATACAATACATAATAGAATGTGTAAATACATAACAAAATACAGAATGGACGAATGGAATTTACAGTGCCAAATAGAGAGGACATAACACCATTTGCGGGGTCTAAAAGATCATAATAGAATAGCATAATACAACATCTCATTTTGGCGGTAATCACCCCCCATATGTGCGATGTCAGCAATTACTTTCGCCATTCCCGGTCGCGAAATTGTCTTTGTACAGCGCATGCTCGTCAGTGGAGAAATAGCGTTTGACTTCAACGGCGAAAATTGTCTGATTGGTCGACGCGCGACCACGTGACATTGCCAAATTCAAAATGGCGGCAATAGATCCATCGTTTGTTTATTCCAGTGGAAAGAAGTGAAATTGCGGCTTAATATGAGTTGCAAATGCATATACGGATATTTTTAGAATAGCTTAGACTTTTTATTATCCTTTTTCACCTATTCCTATGGGATTCGTTCCCTGGGATGCTCGCGTTTTGGCCAGTTTACCAGATTCAACTTTGGACTCTTCACGATCACGAAGGACAACAATATTTTTGATGAAAGCCGGGTCACTAGAAAGAACGGCCTTTGTTCACAGCTCAATGCAGCGGAGAAATAAGACACTATGGGTCCTTTGAAATTGCTTAGACACCTAGAAGTTAATTTATTATTTTTTTACCGAAAAGATAAAGCAAAATTATGTTTTCTCCAGCAAGACTTTCTAATTTATATAGCTTAAACATGAGCTAAATGAAATGTAGTGTCTGCATTCATGTTCTTTTCTTTGCAATTTGAATATCAAAACGTTAAAGCCGTCTATGACCGAGCCGGGTTTTTTTTTCTATTTCTTTTCAATGGTTACTGTGCTTGATCTGAATTAGATAATGAAATGAATACTATATATAAAAGAAGAGAACTTTGATTGCAAATATGTTAGTTAGAAAAAATACTGATTATACTATATGATCTTTTTACTATATAGGTTAGAAAACTGATGCGTAGTCAAAAGTGCTACAAAGGAGTAAAAACCCAGATCTTTCCGTTAAGATTCGACGTTTGCCCCAGGCCTAAGATATGTAGTTTTTATCTTATGAGAAATGAAATCATTCTATTTTATTATTATTATTATTATTATCACTCTATTCGGGACGCAGCAGAAATGTGACTTATATGGTCGTTTGTAAGATTGCAGAGTGAAACAAGTCAACTTTAAACATTCTTTATCTCGTACTCTATTCGGCACGCAGCAGAAATGTGACATGACATCGCACATTGTTTTGGTTTACAGAGTAAAAAAAAGTCAGATTTGATCACTCCCTGTCCCGTACTCTGTTCGGCACGCAGTAGAAATGTGAGAAACATCGCACATTTTTTGGGTTTATAGAGTGAAAAACGGCAACCTTGGTTACTCTCTGTCTCGCACTCTGTTCGGCACGCGTCAAAAATGTGACATACATCGTAGATTTCTCAGTTTTAAGAGTGAAAATTATCAAGTTTGAATAATCTTAATCTTGTACTCTATTCAGCAAACGTAGAAAAACTTTCAATACTGAAGGATGTACTTTTAATTTCACCATGATCATTAGGTTCGGTTTGTTTTTATCTCCTCTTATTCGTTACCCTGTCGAAAGCTGACAAATATTGCGTACGTTTTTCGCAATGATACATGTACACAATTCGTGCATTCTTTAGTCACTCTATTTGCTGCTTTGTAAAAGGGCTATTCTCATTAATAGAAATTACATTTTAGAAATTCCTGTTTTCTACAAAAAATATATCAAAAGTTGTAACTTTTTTACCTGATGTCTAAGGCTGTTCCTTACTCATTCTCTGGAAGTCCATTTACTTTCTCAAAGTTTTATATTTTTCTGCTTTGATGCACTTTTGGATTCCCCTTTTTTATATTTGAGTTTTTTATTATTTACCTTCAGAACACATAGAAGAAAACTTCATTAGCTAAAATGAGTGTAGACTTATTTTGCACCCGTTCATTTAACAGGCGTGAGGAAATTCTGCCCGGTCATTAGTTAAGGGTTGAATGATTGTGTGATTGACCTTTTAAACGTACCGACATTTCGCTGTTTTTAAGTCATATGAAGTTCCAAATAAATTCGCATTAAAATTTTACATAACCTGAGGTCAGTACTTTTTTTGCTTCGCTCATTGGTACTAAATATTTATCGCGGCGGCGTAACAGAGAGTGTGTGGTAGTTGATTTTAAAGTTCCTAACATTTAGCGTTGTTGGATCTCATGTTAAATTCCAGACACACAAGAACGTGTTATCTCAAACGTTCTATGACCAAATAAACTCAACACTGGAATTTCAGAATGTTAAACGGGAACTTTATTTTACTAGAACAAGAAGATGAATAATGCATCAGTCAATTCCAGCTGCGCCCAGCCCTCTCCCCCACCCCCCCGGGCTAACCCCCGGGCATTAACACTTTTTTTGCCTTGGATGGCAAATTCCCGGGGGTGGGGACTCTAGAGCTGTCAAATCCTTCGGGATGGGGATGAAAAAGGGAGCAAATGCCCCGTCCTCCGTCAACACTGCAACATTTTTCATTGATCGCACA